TTGGGAAAGTTGTATTGCTCAGATGAAAAGAATTTAAAGTTTTCACCTCTTAAAAAATGTATTTGTAGACACAATGCAGACTGCTTGACAGTTCTGCAACAATGCATGGTAGTGTAGATGTGGATTTGGAAAAGAAAGTGGGCTAGTTGATAAACAACAAGAATGTGAAGTCAAGACATTGTTGCTTGCTTAGTAACAGCTTTGACAGAGCTTGCTAGAAGAATCTGTGTATTTTGGCTTCCAGCATATATAGCACTTTATTATTAATCATGTTTTGCTGTTTGATTCCAGTAATAGCAAACATTGAAAATGAGGGGGGGAAAAAGATTACATGGAGTTTCTAGCTATGAAGATGTTATTTGAGCAATATCTTGTCAGGATTAATTCATTAATATGTAAGTGAGTACTTTCAGATCATTGCACTGAAGCTGCACTACAAAGGAAGTATGTAATTTGTTTTCTCACATCCAAAGTCCATTATTAGTATAGCAAATAAAGAACATTTTAAATGTCAGGAAAGAATAGAAGTCACAAATAAACAAAATTCTGTCTCAAACCACACATGACATATAAAAAAGCAGGCTTCCTCACTGCAGAACAGTATTTTCACTCTTTCCTACACTAAAGAATATTTATTCCTCAAACACATTTTCATTAATGATCACTTGAGATGTTTGTAACACAATGGGCAGTAAACACAAGACCTATTCATCAGTCTCCTGCCAGTTACAGCCAAAGTGGCCTTTCATGCCACCAGTAGACACAAACTCAATGGGGGGATCCTGCCAACTGCAGCATCTGCTTCTAGTCCCTCATCTTCTCGTGCTGCTGGTGGACAGCAACATCCCAGGAGTGACTGATGTTGTTGGGGGCTGCCCTCCTCCAGTACCCATCAATCTATTTTTGAGTTCTTGACACTCACACACTTTTCTTTTAACCCTTTTTTGTCCTCTGTAATCTCTTGTTCTCCTTGTATTTCTTTTTTCCTCCAGCCCTTTCTGCTCAGAGGGCTTGAAGGTTTGGTTGCGGTTGGGCTAGCACCTGCCTCTAAAGAGGGAAAGACAACTGATGTGGTTTAAACAGGACTTAATTAAAACTTTTTAGCTCCTTCCTGCATGGTCTAGTGGGAGCTTATGTGCTCACTGCATCACTGAGAAATACTTGAAGAATAATTGGCCCCAGGAGAGTCATATACTGGTGCCTTGAGATTCCCCCTTCACATTGAGTAGTTCCCTTTGTTATCTTCCCACTGCTGTTAACCAGCAGAACAAGCACTGAACTGGAATGTTTCTGGAATATTTTTCTTTGCCAATCCCTTTTTCCTGTCTGTCTTTTCAGGGATTTTTTTTGGTGACAAATATTCTCACAATGCTCTGAGCAAGGAGAGAATGTGGAGGTGAGCCTTGCACTCTTCAGAATCTTTGTGCTGTAAATTTGGATCAAAACTGTAGGTAAGAATTGAGTCTCCAAAGAAAACTGTGGCCATCTCTGCTATAGCCAGGCATACCTCTGTAGTGCAGAGATGTCACTTTTGGTTCAGAACTGCTGCACTGGTGAAAAGCTGTGTGGGCAAATCAGTCCCCTTTTTTCCCCTCAGTACACTTTGTTTTTCTCATATAAAGGTGGAACTACAAAACAAAGGGCCCTACGTGGAGGGCTTTGCCTGCTTGGAGAACATAGAATCATCGAGTCATAGAATCAACTGGGTTGGAAAAGCCGTCCGAGATCATCAAGTCCAACCCTTGATCCAGCATCGCTGTGGTTACAAGACCATGGCACTAAGTGCCACATCCAGTCTTATCTTAAAAACCTCCAGGGACGGTGAATCCACCACCTCCCTGGGCAGCCCATTCCAATGTCTGATTACTCTCTCTGTAAAAAATTTCTTCCTAATATCCAACCTAAACCTCCCCTGGCACAGCTTAAGACTGTGCCCTCTTGTCCTACTGCTGGTTGCCTGGGAGAAGAGACCAACGCCCACCTGGCTACAACCTCATGGAATATTATCTGTGAAAATATTTCAGGCTGAGATCTTCAGTTCATTAGGCAGAAAAGGCCTGAATCTGAAATCAAAGTTTTACTGTTGATTTAAATAAAATTCTGGGGAGGTTCCATTAAGTTTAACTCTTTACTGTTTCTCCTGCAAAGCAGATCATTAAGTAGTCCAGAAGATGATGCATATTTGATTAAGATTACTGTTCTTGTGTCAATCTGGGCAAGCACTCTCATGAGAAAAATACATGTACTCTGTGGCTTAAGTATTCTTAAACCTAATCTCCCAATTTTTCATCTTCATTAGATTTTGGTAATCCAAAACTGTAAATGCATTAGATTTCTTGAAAACTGTTTCCAAATAATAAAATATAAAATACAGCATACCTCAAAAAATTGAGAACTGCACCCACTTTGGATTATGACATTTCTTTCCTAAAGACAATGAAACTTTAGTACTTACAATCTTCTGAGTGCACTTCTAACCAATGTACGTATTTCAGAGAACAGCACTGTTTCAGGTCACTTTATTTAAATTCTTTTGTGTCTAGGGAAACTTTTGAAAATACTTGTGGAAGAGAAAAGGGATGTAAGATCAGAAAGGTTAGGTAGTGGTGTGCTTTATCTAATATTCTATTTACAGTAGAGGTCACTGCCAATTTGATGTTCATTGCAGAAAGAAATCCTGCAGTAGAAAATAATGGAATATATTCTCATGCTATTAAAATCTAGCTTGTGAAAATTAGCACATTCTTTGAAATCTGAGCCTTATATATCATATTAGATTTTTTGGGTTTACTTGTGTTACCTGATGTTCTTGTTACCCCAATGAAGTTCCTATCTCTCGAATACAGCTTCAATTACATTCTTCAGAAATGAATTCACACAGTGTGTAATTACACAGTTGAAAAAATCTATTTCCTTTTTCAGTTATAAATGCATTATCTTTTGACTAAATGGATGTTTCCTTGTTTATATCTGATGAGAAGAGGCAATTCTATTAGTTCTATCCACCTTCCCAGTTTTTTCCTGTGTACGTTCATTCCACTTCCTCATACTTATGTCTGGTTTAAAGTACAGTATTAATCTATCTTCATAACAGTATTTTTCCATGTCTAAGAGTCTTTGTCATCAGTTCTGGTCTTCTTCTATTTTAGCTATGTCACCCCTGGGGACATAAAACCTCTATAATAAATCGTAATGACAAAGTATAAATTAATTTAGCATGCATTTGCACGCAATAATCTGCTTCCTCTAAGACTCTTCGTATTTCTTGAGCTGACTTACAGTTCATTCAACCAGCTGTCAATTTTTTTAATAAATGTATTTTCAAAAGTATTTTGCTTTTGTGTCTCACACATTTTCTTCGGACTAAAGGCCACATTGAATACGTTACATGCCAAGCCACAAAGCTTTCTTATACATGTCAGTATTTCAAATCAAATTGATTCTGTTAGAGTAAGAACGGAGTTTGGTTACAGACAGAAGATTTCCTTACCCTTATAGGGGTGGACCTCACCTTTCTATTGGTAAGGCTTAAAATAGTCATACAAAAGTTAAGTGGCTTGTAAAACAGCTATATTTTACGTTGTGTTTTAAATGGCAATTACACTTAAGTCCCAAGAAAGTAGTATGCAACCTTCCTCAAATTGCTCTAGAACAGATTTTCTCTAGTAAATGTGACTTACGCACATGTATATATATAAATGAAATAAAAGTATTTCATTTGAATGAGCTTGGACATTGTGATGACTTGCAGAACTCATGTCATCCCGAATTCATATTCATAAAATATATATTACATATGTTTTAGCTTAAAGTTTGCTAGGGAACTGCTCAGAAGTATGGGGGGAAACATGAAGAAGAAAGTCTTGATCTCCCTGGACTCTGTTATTACTAGTTGCTTAACCTTCTTCCCCTTTTGCAGTTCAGAAGATACAGCCCTTGTGTTGCTTATTTTTGTGAACTTTGATATGGCTATAGCTAGATGTCCACAGGAAACACCCAAGAAAGTTAAGATAAAGAGACAAAACCACACAGTATTTCTCCCCACCAATTAGAAACGGAGAATAACTGAGATTAGACATCTAGGCATTTAACATTTCATGAGATAAACACCAGACTGGGACTCTGGCACTATCAGTGTCTGGAAAGTGAAAACTACTTGGGGATAGAAATGCAGAAAGGATATGTGGATACCATGGCACCTATGGCATGTTCTGGCACAGTGCTATAAAGACAGTTTTTACCGTAACATGGCTAGCAATGGACCATGGCAGGAGGAGAAGGATGTCTCTCTAATGCTCGTGGTGCCTGCCTAACGCTGCTGGGAAGGGGTGAACCTTGTCTTGCTGGCAATGGTCTCCAACAGCTTGGTTACTCTCAGTACCAAGTGCAGCTAAGAAGGTTGCCAATGGTTGCATCAGTGGTGGGTGTGTGATCTCCAGCCCAAAGCGAGTTTCATTTTGCTTATTAGAGCAGCAGTACTGCAGCTGTGTTCAGGCAGTCATAGCAAGGATAGTCTGTCAGGGAAGAGTGACAGACACCTTGCATGAGATACTGACTGTGGCACAGATGAGTGAGGGATGCCATGAACAGCAACAGGGATTTGAAAGGCAAATGCTGAGAACTGTTGGGATAGATTTGGTACCTGAAATCATTGCCCAGAGAAGGTTAACGAAGCTGGTGGAGGGTCTGGAGCACAAATCTTATGAGGAGCAGCTGTGAGGGAGCTGGTGTTGTTTAGCTTGGGGAAGAAAAGGCTCAGGGGTGACCTTACTGCTCTCTACAACTACATTAAAGGAGGCTGTAGCCAGATAGGGGTCAGCCACTCCTCACAGGCAGCTAGCAACAGGACAAGAAGACACAGTCTTAAGTTGCACCAGAGGAGGTTTAGATTGGACATTCGGAAGAATTTCTTCACAGAAAGCGTGATTACATATTGGAATGGGCTTCCCAGGGAGGTGGTGGACTCACCGTCCCAGGAGATGTTTAAGGAAAGACTGGATGTGGCACTTAGTGCCATGGTCTAGTTGACAGTGTGGTGTTTAGTCATAGGTTGGACTTGATGATCTCAGAGGTCTTTTCCAATCTAATTGATTGTGTGTAATTATGTGTGTACCTGAAAGCATGGCCACATCCAAAGGTCCTGCAGCCTGGAGTCACAAAAGTATGCTAAAGTCACTGTCATGGAGTTATTTGGTATCATCTTTACCTTTATCATCATGCCCTTTACCTTTCCCATTTTTGCTCTCTGTCTCCTGAGTCTGGTTTAGTCCAGCAAAAGAACTCCACCCTTTTCTTTCCTGGGTGAGAGCCTGGAGTAAAAGAGCAAAGGAGAAACAAGTTTTTCAGTAGCATAATGCTTTGCCAGGTCATGAAGTGGCTGCTAAAGCCGTGCTGTCTGGCTTTACTTTCGAAACAGCTCAGTCTTCCATGGCAGTCAGAGACAAAGGCTGCATTTTCTGTTACTTCGCTCAATCATTTTTCCTCCAGCTCTGTTTGTGCTCCCTTAAGGGAGACGGGATCAGAGTTCAGAAGTAGAATCATCAGTTTTTCCTCATAATGATATTTATAAAGATGTTCATAACATTTTAAATACTATGCAAGAAGCTTCTCAAACAGGGTTTCAGAGCCTTCACCTGCATATAACTTAGGGATACATGACAATGTAGTTACTTAGAGGAAGAAGCTTTGTATTTAAGTGTTGTGTGTTCTTCTTCACCCTAGGCAGATCCAGTCAGCGGATGTCAGTTTCTGAATCTGGAAAAAAAAATTCTTTTGATTAGATGAATATAATTAATTTTAAAAGGAAATAATAAATTTGTAAGCCCAAAGTCTGTAGAACAGATCAGCAGAAAATAACACTCTTCTCTAAAGAACAAGAGATAGTGCTCAGCCATGCCCTGGGGTCTTGAAGACCAACAAAAAATCTGAACTGAGATTCTCACCTCTCTGAAGTCAACTGGACTGATTTTCAGTGACCGAAGTAAAGCCAGGATTTCACACCAAAGTTCAAGATCTTAGGAGAAAACCTAAGGGGGAAAAAAATCAAAATTAATAAAAATAAAAAAGACCAAAGGCATGTAGTTAATTTTGTATGTATTGGGAATGCTTTGTGGATTTCTTAATGAGACTAAAACTGAGCAGAATCATTAAGTATTTGGGGGATTTAAGCCTAATGGTAGAGCTGGTGTTTCAGATAATCATAAGAAAATAGCATAAAGAAGGCATTGGATTAAAAAGGTAGGGTCGCGTAGTGACTAATAACTTATTTGATCTTTTCAAGGTTTAAATACAGAACTCAAATCAAATAAATGGGTCGGTTACTAATTAGAGTTGCCCAAATGTGGCAAAGTAAATTAGATTATTTTTACACATTTGAAGGAATGAGAGGTTAAAGAACTAGTTACAAAACTGACTTGGTCTTCTAGGGGAAACCCATGCTAAACTTGATCTGTCTTTGAGAATGTTTTTTGTCTCCTACCCTCTTGAGATTTGGTTAATATTAATGCAAGATGTGAAAGGAAATTCAGTGCATTTTAGTAGCTTTTAGTCTTGCAAGAGAAGGGATAGATAAATGAGATAAAGAAGATTTTGTTTGAAAACTTATTGCAAAACTAAAGGCTTTTACAGTCCTCCAAACACTTGTGCACTTGCTTTATGCACATTGATATAATTTTGTGAAGCTCATTTTCAAGACAGAGGGTTAAAATTGCACTGATGTGAATTCCATGATTTCAGGTTCAAGTGAATGTGTCTTTTGTGCAGTTAGCTAATAAATTATAGTTAGCTACACAGCATTCCTAAGTCATTACAGAAATCCTCAATCAATACAAAAGTGAGTTTGTAGTTAAAACCATGATGCCTCTGAAGTTAGCGATTATAGATAAGGATGTTTTATGACAGAAAAACTATTTTTTTCATTGATTTGCAAATCTCCACTCTGTGGGTGTCCACATGCTGGAAGTTAAAGGCAGCAGACAGCACACGGACCAGCTGGCCCGAAGGAGCTGCTGTTCCAGCCCTGGGGTGAGCCTTTTTCCGGTTAAGCAGGTAGGAGCACATTGCAGCCAAAACCACCCTCAGCAAGGCATTGCTGCTGCCAGGCCCTGAGGAGATCAGGCAGTCAAAGCAAGACTTTGTAAGTCTGTCATGAGGGGTCCTTGAGGGTTATGGCCTTTCACTAGTGAAATCACAGCAATGTTAATCAAGCAGAACAACAAAAAACTGTGTTTCCCAGTTCTTTGGACATCTGACCCTAACTCACTGATCAAAATAATAGATAAAGGATGGGGATTTTACTGGAAAAGTATCCTAGCACTGTCTGAAAGTATCTGTCTGAAAACTAAGAACTGATGAACATAGCAGCAGGTACATAGGGCACTAAATCTGGATCATTCAGCCATAAAACTGGGAGCTCCTAGTACTCAATGGACTCCACCAGGCTTTTCCACCCTGACTGCACCAGGCTTTTCCACCCTGGCTGCAGGGCTCTGCTGGACAAGGGAAGAAGGCATGTGGTCCAGGCTGCGGGGTATGGCTGTGGAGCCTGCCCTTCCTGAGAGGCGCCCCGGGAGACTCGTGGGGGCTCGCTGGTCGTTACACTGGTGGGTACATGGGTGGGCAAACCGGCAGGTACCCTGCCAGGTACCCGGTGGGTAAACTGGCAGGTAGAAGGGCAGGTACATTGGCGGGTACACGGGTGAGTAAACTGGCAGGTACACGGGCAGGTATACGGGTGGGTACCCCAGGACCGTACCCAGTGATGTTGGGCCATCTATGGCGCTAAGCGGGTGCCCCTACCCCCAGAACCCAGATAGGTTCGATTTCACCTCAAAGTGCCCGGCGTTGCCCTGACGAACACCCTGCGGCCCCCGCTGCTCGGGCAGCGCCATCCGCACCCTCCACAACACCCGCCGGAGCTAGGACGGTCCTTATCCCCGGGACCCCCTGCCGTGCCTGCGGGAGGCTGCGGGGCCAGGGCGCGGGTTCCGCCGGCGGGCCCGGTGCGGTTGCCGCGGTGATGACGGGCAGCCGCCCCTGCCCGTGCCCCCGCCCCGCAAACATGGCAGCGGCGGCGGCTGCGGCGGCCCCGGCGGGGAGCGGCGGCAGGTGAGGAGCGGCGTGGCGGGGAGGGGACACGGCGCCCCGGCCCGGCCCTGCCCTGCCCTGCCCTGCCCCGCCCGCCCCGCCGCGGACGGACTGTCCGCGCTCCCGGCTCCCTCGGCAGGCCGGCGGTGAGGGGCGGGCTCCCGGCGCCGCCAGCAGCTCCTCCCTTCTCCCGGCCCGGGAGCCCCCGGCGGGGTGACAGCCCTGCCGAGCGCAGCCGCCCCGGCCGGGGCTGCGGAGGCAGCGCCGCTCCCCCTCGGCCCGCTCGCTGCCGGGACCAGCGGGGCGGGAGCCGCCGCCCCCGTGCCCGCCATGTGGAAGCTCAACAAGAGCAGCAAAGTTCTGCTGGACGACTCGCCCGAGGAGGAGGAGACGCATCCCCGCGGGCCGCCGCCCGCCGCCGCCGCCTTCGCGGCCCCCCAGGTAGGAGCGCGGAGCCCGGCTCGGAGCGGTCGGGAGGCTCGGCCCCGCTGCCGCTGCCCTCCTCTCCGGCGGCATGAGTAATCACTTTTCCCACTTTGGATGTGCCGGCAGTCTGGCCCTGGTCGAGCTGGGGATGTTTGCGCGGATCGTGCGGCTGTCACCCGATTTTTGGGGTGCTGAGTGGCCTATCCACCTCTGTTTTCTTCCAGCAGCCGGCCTCCGGCATTGCTGGGACTTGCTGTCCTTCATTCCAGTGGCTTCATACCACAGGGTACTTTCTCTCCCGGCCCTAGCCAGGGGTACTGCAACCCATCTGTAAAGCATAATACATTAAACAGGGATGTTTAAGAACATACCTTCATTTTCGTGTTTGTGTAGAGCACTGATATTTTGGCACGATTGCTTTTTTTCTATGGTTTCAGTAATAGTAGCTGGCTATCCTTAATCAGCCCCAATGTTGTTTGAAAGCTTTCATTGTTAAATAATGAGTTAAATACCAAGTGACCTTCTCAAAGTATTGGTCGCCTAACAAATACAACCTGAAACGAAGGGTATCCGTTGAATATCAGGCAAAACAACTGAAAAAATGTTCGTTGACTTGCTTTCAAAAACTTGGTAGCAATTAGGCATCCGTCCAGCTCAGAAGCCTGTTACGCTGCGTGATACAGCTTTGTTGCTGAACTGATCTTCTGTTGCCACAGATTATCTTTAGATGTTGTCTGAGAGGTTGCAGGACACCTGCATATCTGAAGTAAGCAGTTGCCCGGGGTTGCAAACTAGTGAGGTTTCTATTCAAAGGAAGGTACAAAAGCCCACTCAACTTCCCACCCCTGTTTGTCTTGCTTGGCTTGCTGGAAGAGCTGGAGTGTGTTTGGATAAACTACTCTCTGCTTGAGTTCCTGGTTGACAAGTGCTATAGGTTGTCAACATGTGTGGCTGAAGAGCAGCCTCTTCCAGTCACAGCAGTTATTCTCTCTAACTTCCAGTAGCCAAAATCACCAGTTTAGTCTTGCCTTGCCTTTTCCCCTGCACTGTAAACAGAAGAGCCCTAGCTCTTGCTACTAGTTTGATAGCAGCTGTGAAGATTCATATGGATGAATAGCATCTTCTCCTGTAGGAGAACAGTCAGTCATTTTGGAGACCCCCTTTGTGGGAGGAAGGGGGATCGTGGGGTTGGAGGCAACCTGAAGTATCTCCCACAACCTCTCATGCAACACATAACCTCTTCCTCCTACAGATCCTATCCTCAGGTGCTTGGAAACTTCCACTGTTTTCCTTAAGCTGTTAGCTTGTGCTGTTGTAGCCCTCCTAGACTTGCTTAGCTCCTGAAAATCTTCCTCAAACACCAAAGGTCACTGAAAGCTTCCAGTAAATCCGAC